GGATGTTTTCCCAGAAGAGTTAGCAGAGACGACGCTAAATGCTTCTGACAGGCACAGATATAACAGCACGCGCTAATACAGTCAGTTTGATGCCGTTTTTAGTGTGTATAATTTACACAGCGGCCCCTTTTGCACGAGAGCGTTCGGTGCCTCACCAGTAATGGCAGTCAGGATCCTCAAAGCGTGTGCTTTTCATGTTTAGTGTCACATGCATAGAGAACACTCTGCCCCGCATGACAGACAGGCCACCATATGCACACACCTCCTCCCCCGCCAGCTTCACATCCAGCCAACAGGTGGCGCTCCACAGGCAACAGGTTTCGGGGCCGTAGGGGCCACAGTCAGAGCAGCCAGAGAGCGTGGGGGGGATTTTAACATGCACACGATGACCACGATCCCTGCTCCCCTCTCGCTCCCAGTCCCACAGAGACCCAGCACTGGCTTATTATGGGAATAAATGGCCTGCTATTTTGAGCCGGGAGCAGAAATGCACTCACTCTATTCCTGTCCTCCTTGTTGTTGTTGTTGGTTCCTTTCAGCGCCTGGGTAGGACCTCCAGGAGCTCTTCACACGTGAGCATGTCCGTGCGCTGGAGCACGAGTAAGGAGGAGCAAGGAGGAGGTGATGGAGGAATGGAGGCGGCGAGGAGGAGAGACCCTGGTGTGACTGACGGTGTGTAACTATGAGATCGATCACATGACTCAGGCCCATTGTTCAGCAGAGGGACCCGGCGACATCGCCCCCCTGTGTTTAGCATCATGTGATTAGCAATTTTTTTTTGGGGGGGGGGGGGGGGCAGTCGAGATGAAGGACAGCTTTGTCCTCAGACGGGAGCCAGAGACGGAGGCCCCACAATAAGCCTTCAGCTGTTTGCTGCCTTACCCATAATTCCCTGCTGCGCTGCCATGGCACCCAAGCACACGGTGGCATAGAGGCTAAGCTGGCTGAGCACGCAAGGTCGGAGGTCGCTCCTGACACGTGAGCATGTCGCCAGTGCGAGACAGCGGCGCCCAGTTTCAGCCAAGGACCCTGAAGACACGTTACCACTTGTTTTATTTTGACAATTTATCCATGTGTACAGGTACCGAAATGGGACTGTAACATACTACACCACCTTCCGCTAATTACTGAGCACAGTGTGCAGCTCAGAACGTTAGACTACTGAAGGTGCTGGTTCGAGTCCCATGCTTGGGACAGTAGCAAAGCCCCCCCCAGCCAAAAAAATAAACTCCAGGAATGGCTTTCATGCACTCTGACCCCAAGCTTCAGTCGCACCTCTGAACGATGCACGATAGGACCCATGAAACAAGCACATTCCAGGGTGTCTGTTCTTGTGCAAATGGCACATAAACAACTGTCCCGATTTCTTCAGTAAATATCCATCTGTATAAATGCAAAATTTCAAACTAAGTTGCTATATAATGGCGACTGTGGGGAAAGATGCGCTGGGCCTCGCCCTGCGCGGGTGGGGCCCGTTTTCGGGCTCCTCTGCGTCTCTCCGCCTTGGTTGGCAGCATCACCCTGGTGCAGCCAGCTCCCTGAACGCCATCTGGGCACGCGCCCACGCAGGGCTCTGCCGCTACTCAGATAAAACAGCTGCAAGCTGACAAAAATCAAACAAAAATACCGCTAAACAAACAGGTCGATGGAAACGGGGAGTCCGTGAATTAATCAGGCATTTCATTTCAGTCTCGCTCAGCTGGGATTCACAGGCATCGCATGCATTACCCCAAAGCGCTTTTCGTTTTGAAGGAGCTGGTAAAAATCCAGTGGTTTCGCTGTCGTATCTTTGAGTGCAAAACTGATCCAGTAAATGACTCAGCTGTATCAAGAGGTGTACTTCTAATACAGATATAGGATCATCAGTCTTATGACATTTGCTGCTTAATTAACATGATCGTTACCGATCACGTTAAGTTAACGAACGTGTAGCATCTGGCATTTCTGCCCTCCGTAAACCGGCTTTCGGGATGCTGCTGTTTCCGGAGGCTACCGTGTGCTTTCCGTTATTCAGAACATTTCATTTTGGCGAGGCATTATTCTGCAATGTTTTAAGGTGACATTTCAGGTGATTTTTTATGTTACTGTTTAGCGTGATAAGTGAGCTTTGTTCGTTTTGGTTTGGCTGACAGCTGGTATTGTGTGCTGATCTGAATGAGCTGCTTTGAAATGAAAGTGTATCCTGTGCTTTTCATGTACTGCGCCTGTAGCCCTGCCTCTGTCCGCCTCCGTGGCATGTCGAGCTCTCCGGTATCCTAGAGAAGCAGATGGTTAGAAAGATGAATCTGTATGCTTAAGGTTGTAGGTTTACATCCAAAGAAGAAATTCATAGTTGTAGAATGAAGCTTACAAGTTGAATTCCGGACTGAACGAATGGAGTGAGAGTAAGCAGAGTTTGTTAGGCATCTGGGGGCAGTATCCCTATGGCAGTGTGTCCCAGCCTGGTCCTCTTGGAGATAAGATGAGATAGGATAAGACCTTTAAGAATTTGAACCCACAGATGGCCCACGTTTTAGCTCCCTGCTTTTGTAAAAACATGGACTGTCTATGGGCCACTGAGGACCTGATTTGGAAACGCTGCCCTACACCTACAACCCAGCGACGTACAGGCAGAATAGAGTAGCGGCACCAAAGAGAATTTTATGTATGAAGTATTGGCCCGTTACAAATGCCACACACCCACCTGTCAAATAGCAGTGAAATGACATTTGTTTTCGCTGGGTCGCATGACCAGTAATTGGAGAATGGCATTGTGGGCAGCGAACAGCCCTTCAGGGCAAAACCAAAGCCCTCCCCTGCGTCTTTAACCCCCAGGCACCGAACTGAAGCTCAGCTTCTCCCAGCACCCTGGGGTGTCACCGCCAAGCATGTGACTCACACGTGTGCCCCCCCCCGGATCCCCGGCACCACCAGGCACAAGGGCTTTCCTGTTCCTCTCAGGCGCACAATTCTCATTATGGCGCGGCCCTGGTGGCCGGAGCCTGGAGGAGGGCATGACACCCAAACACGGGGAGGCCGACTGGCCGACCCACCCGCCGAACCTGCTGTCCTGGTCACCATGTATCGGCAGGCTAACTGCTAAAGCTGTTCTGTTATGGCAGCTACACACACACTTATACACTCTCCCAACCGCTCTTCCTCAAACTCTGCATTCCTCTATCCCACTTCCCCTCACCCCCTCCCCCCTCACCCCCAGAGCAGGACTGGAGACCTGTCGGCCCTCATTGGGTGAGAAATGGGGGTGGAGCGTCACTTGGTTTATTGTGTTTTCACCTCCCTCCCTCTCCCTCTCTTCCTCTCCCTCCTTCTCCTTCCCAGGCACTATAATGAAATGCAGTCTCCTCCCAGAGCTCTGTTAATTACATCTCTATTTATTTAGCAGATCCATCGGGGGTGGGGGGGTGGGGGGCTCGGATTGTCTGACTGCTGCGTTAAATAGCCTGCATTCCAATCCCCTGATGCTGAAGCAGAAAAGCCCTACTTTCATCCGGATGGGCTGCTCCTCCGCAGAACATGGGTCACAGTCAGGGAAATGAGAGCAGGGCGATCGCTGCGTCACAGGGTGGGGGGGGGGGGGGGGGGGGGGGTCACGGGAGGCTCTGTCTGTGTTTTATTTGCTTATTTGTTTAGGATAAAGTTTTGTCCAAAGCTGCTTATAATTCAGCGATTAATACAGCAGGAATTAACGGGGCTTAAAAGGTACAGCAGCCGTGCCCCTGATATCGCAGGCTTTGCGATCGCGGCCGCAGCCCCTCACTACGCCCCCAGCTGGCTGCATTAAACACAGCCACCTTCTGGGAGTGCGATAAGGCGTCCCCGGCCGCCCCATGTCCAATCAGCTGCCGGGCCATGCGCCGCTTGTTTGGAAACAGTGCCAGGCTTAACGCGGGTTCACTGTGGATTGTTGCCGTGGTGAGGCCCTCAACCCCCCCCCCCCCCCTACAACACACACACACACAGCTCAGACCCCACACCCCAGATCTAGTTCCGTGCGTTTATAGGCTGCTTTTATTTTGAGCACGGTTGCACAGCGGCCTGCATGCCATCCCAGTACAGAGGTGAATAATATGGGGGGGCGGGGTGGCGGAGCAAAAAAGGGAGGAGATGAATAGAGAGAGAGAATGAGACTGGCAGAGCAGGAAGGAAGATCTGTGACAAGTGCAAGCCGGCCCGTTCTCTGGGTGCCTGTGTTCAGGAACGCATTCGGTCTGAGGCCTTTCTAGTAGACAGAGTTAGGGTGTGTGTGTGTGTGTGTGTGTCCTGCGAGGGCCCTTTAACTTTACGTGAAAGATGAAAAGACCGTTTACAGCGGCTGTCCGTGCTCAAAAACAAAACGGTGATAAGCATTACGAACAGGGGTGCCGCCAGAAATCTTGGGCCCCATGAAAGATTAGAATTTTGCCCCCCCCCCCTTTTTGCTTAAAGGTAAAGCCCCTAACAGGGCCCCATGTCAGTGCTGGGCCCCTAGAATCGTTCTAACCTTTCCCCCCCTGGCGGCGCCCCTGATTACGAAATCAATGCCAATCACTTACATTAAGGAGTTACTGTGCAGACACTCAGAGGGGAGAAAATAATATCGCAATGTCTGTATCGCTCTCTGCGGAGTGGCTCTGCTAAGTAAGGCACGCTTCGTTAATGTCACAGGGAGCCGTGTAATTCGTGATCTTTTAACACGGGGATTCCTTGGGAAAAATGGAATAAAAATGGCTTAAGTTGACTTAATGTCAAAAGTGTGCGATTCAGCAAACGGCGAAACAAGTGTAACACATATTTAGACGAGTACATACAAAATACAAACGCGAGGCAGAGAAGTGGAAACTTTCAACTCAGCGGTTTGATCCTCCGGACCTTTCGGAAGGTCTACCAACAGCAAGCGCTCCGCATTTCGGCATGTAGGTCACCTCCAAGCAGGTAGCCGACCGTAATGCGTAGATAGGCTGCACGCCCCCCCTACCCCGCCCCAGTCCACGCGCGTGCACGCAGAGCCCTCCACTCCCCGCGGAGGCGCGCCGCGCAGCCCGGTCACGTGACCGGCCCGGTGGCCGGAGACCGAGGCGGCGCGTTCATCGAGGGGCCGCTATAGAGAAGCGGGGATACGGGAGGCGGTCTGCGCGCACACACACGGCGAAGTGTGGGAGTCTGCTTGCCGGGGAGAGGCTGCACACACGCCGAGGGAAGGGGAGAGCGTTACTTCGGGGAATTAAAACAACGAAAACGCTTTGAAAGCTACCAGCATGCGGGAGTTTATTACTCTTTTTATGTGACTTGGGGAATCATTACGGAACAGCGCGACCGAGCCGCCTCGGTACCGTAGAACTGCTTTTCACCCGGGATCAACTGGCAAGAAAAAGAAAGAGACTCCTGGTATAAAGAGAGACTTCGCTGTTTATTAAGAAGAGACCGGACGGGTTTTGTATTGTTTTATACGGTTTTGTTTCGCACCTTTATACATTTTTTCTCCTTTTTTTGTCGCCGTTGTATTTTGATCGGAAAGCTGAAATATGGTTGGGGAAATGGAAGCGAAGGAGAAGCCGAAACCGACCCCAGATTATTTAATGCAGCTCATGAACGACAAGAAACTGATGAGCAGCCTGCCCAACTTCTGCGGGATCTTCAACCACCTGGAGAGGCTTCTGGACGAGGGTGAGACGGGGTGCGGGGCTGTCCGGCGGGGGCGGCGGCTCTGCTGCTGTTTTTGTAGATTCCTTCTATTTGTTTCTCACAAGACCCTTAGTGAGGCTTGCTTACTTTTCTGCGTGTGGTCCGCCATGGGGGGGTCACACTGCCCGTTCTGCGGGGGTGTCACCGCGTCGGGAGCCCGATACACCGGGCTGACGGGCTGTTTATGAAGGGAACCGCGCTACACTTATCTCTAATATTCAACAGGTTTTGCGGTTTTCCGAGTCGGCGGGGGGGGGGGGGCATGATGATCGGGAGTCTTCGCCAACTTCCCGGCCAGAAAATTCGAGCCAGGCAGCATCTCGGCCACCGCTATTAAACTTGCTATTTCTGCGGCACCCCGGCCGTTAATTTGCGCTGAGGTTTTACCCGCACAAGCCCCCCAGTTACAAAGAGGACGTGCTTGTCACTTAAAAAGCTGTTATTTCTGTGAACACCCCCGCCCCCTACTGTAACCTGGCCGGGGTCCGGCGATAAGAGCGGTTGGTCCTCCGTCATTCGGGCTGGATGAAGCGCCGAGGGGGTCCCTGTTAAGCAAGGGGGGGGGACTGTCCGGGTCAGTGTATCGGCGCTGGGACAGTCTGTTAAGCAATTTACATACATTTGACTTGAAGCGGGGAGAGACTGGCCGACTTGGCTGGTTATGAGAGGCACCCTGACCGCATGTGTGGTCGGCCTGCATGTTTGCCAGCCTGTGTGTGACCCGCTGTGTTCAGGGTAAACACTGCCTGAGTAAGAGAAATAAAGGCGAGGAATAAGGAGAGATGCCACGACAGCTGCCGGCAAACGCCACATGCCCAGGACCTGCCTTTTAGCAACAAACGGCACTTTTATCTGTTTGCTGTTATTGTTTATTGTATTTCTTGTGTCTGTAACTGATTTGACATGTCTTTGGTGGTGGTGTACTGATAAGGCTATTAAGAGTGAGCCAAAGTTTTTCCACTGCAATGACAATAAGGAATTCTGACTAAACGGTTAATTCAGCACTGAGAATGTAACCCCCTCCCCCCCTTCCACCAACCCCCCCTCTGCCCTAAACTGGCTGCTTCAATCGCCCGCTGCTGGGGGGGTAAGGGCTGACAGTTGGGGAGGAATTTGCTATGTGGCTTGCCTGCTCTGGTTTGGACGGACCCTGACCGCATTTGCATTGGCTTTTGTTAGGTTTTTATCCGCAGGATCAGCCCTTAGAGATGGGCCATGGAGTACCCCCCCCCCCCCCCAAAAAAAAATCACTCTTGCTTGCTCTTTTCCCAGAAAGACACATTGGGACATGACTGATATTCCAGCCCCCCCCACACAGATCAATATAAAGTGTGTTCGGGTGCACCTATCTGCCATGCCTGAAATCACCACTGCAGGGCGCTGTCTGTGATTCAGACCCACTTCTTTCCAAATGTGCAAGCCACTCTGCCAAACTCTTACAGGGACCGAGTGGAATTAAAGAGCTCATCTCTACATGTGCTGGGTCAACACCTGCTCTGTGATTGGCTGGGTGTGGGTGACCAGCGCGTGTGATTGGCAGGGTGTGGGCGGCCAGCGCGTGTGATTGGCTGGTTGTGGGTGGCCAGCACGTGTGATTGGTCAAGATCACCGAGGCCAAGGTGTGGTGCTCTCTTGCCACGAGCGACCCATTCTCCTCAGGAGAGAATAACCCATCTGTGCTTACATTCCTGACCGGCGAGACAAACGCACAGCTGGGTTTGTGAGGCTCCCCTGCCCTCCCATTCCTATACACAACCGCTAATGAATGTGAATGAGCAAATGTATGCCGTCGTTCATTCATGTGAGTGTGTGAGTACATACTCGCGTTCTGCTTACACAAACGCAGATTGTGAACACAGAGGAGAGTGTCTGGCAAGGGACAGAGAACCACACACACACACACACACACACACAAACAGAGAGTCACACACACAAACAGTCACACACAGTAACACAGATGCACTCCTGTGAGCACTGAGTTGGTCCTGTCCAACACTCCACACTTCATGTTCGACATCCTAAGAATGAACCTTCTGCTGGAGACCCTTATATGTATATATATCCTAAGATAAGTGTTATAGGATAAGGGATAAGACTGACCAAACTGGCACTCCCTCATCTCCACATTTTGTTGCTTACTCTCTAGCAATGTGGTGGTGGTGGTGGTGGTGGTGGTGGGGGGGGGGAGGCATTCCCCAGGGAGAGGTAAAACCTCCTTGGAGTTAGTAAGCTGACCCGGGGTGAGGTCTGGAAGCAGGGTGAGCTGTGCACACCCACAGGCCAGTCTTGTGCGCCTCCCCCCTTCTTCAGCGGGATTTACACCTTTCCATTTTACACGCTGCTCACACACAGCTCTGAATAATTAGCGAGGCCCAATCGTTCTTGGCTGAATCTAATTTTTCTCTGATATAAGCCCAGGAACACAGTGTAATAATGCTTTATTCCCGGAAGGTTCTGTGGACATTACGGTTCAGTTAGCAGAGCTGGGAACCTCAGCATTCTTGCGGCCTCCTGAACATTAAGGCAGTGAGAAGATAAGGTTATGGCCCTTTTTTTTGTCAGAATGCTGCTTAAACCATGTTTTTTTTTCCCCTTCCCTGTGGAAAAGAAAATTGCAGAAAGTGAAGGTTAAACAGAGAAATCTGAAGGTAGGAAGCAGAAGCAGACTTCCTAAGTCATAAAAATCGAGGAAGAGGCAGTCATTCGTGGGCGGCGTTTTAAGAAGACCTTATGGGAAAGGCATTATGGGAGCCGACGTCCTCCAAGCAGGAATCGCAGAACAAGTGCAGCTCTCTCTTTGTTTAGCTGTTTTTAATGATGCGTCCTCCGCGGTCCGGCACTCGCTCTGCTCTGCCTTCTCTGCTTTCTCGTCTTTATGCCGACTGACCTCCCAGAATCCCTTGGGGCGCGCTGCGTTTGCATGCCGTGACGGTCTGGCTCGCCTCTCCGGCCGCGCCGCAGATGTGCAGCTCCAGCCCTGACCTCTTGCCGGGGTGCGGCCCAGATTTTGTACGTTTGGAAGGAGGGTGTGCTGGAGAGAGACTCCAGGGAGGAATTGGAAATTAATTGTGATCGTTGTGCAACTTCTTTAATTCCTCATTTCTCCTGTGAGTATTTCTGTAGCCACCTGAAGATACAATGAGAGGAACTTTATCATTCCCGGGGGGATCTTCTCAAGACCGTTTTTAAAGTTTATAATAATACGAATAAGAGGAAGAACCCAGTAGTAAGTGGGATTGCAGTGCTGTGGTTTTTTTGGCAGTGTGTGGTGCTAAGTCATAGCCGGCCGTATCCCCCTTCTGGCGGAGAGAGGTGATGCGATGAGCCACGTCAGGCCTGTAACAGGAAGTCCTGCCACGGAGGGTGTAAATCGGCCAGAGTACCTACCTCAGCAGTGTGAGCTGGACGGCAGCTCCGGGCTCTGGGCTCTGTCCCCTATCCCCCCCGCCCCCCCCCCGGCCATGAATCAGAAGAGTGGTCATCAGCTGCCCCCGCTCTGCCTGCCAGCCACGGATGTGTTTCACCAAGCTGGTTCTCCTGCAGAATTGAAAATAACCATTAAATTATTTTGATTTTTTTTCACACTTGATTGCACCTTTAGGGTGGGGGGGGGTGGTGGGCTGCTCCACAGCCTATCAGTGGCTTCCACTGGACCGTGAAATTGATCACATGATTACAGCTCTGGACGGTTTGTTCTTGCCACCTTTGTTTTGACCGTGTTTCCTTGATCCCTGACGCTCCGCACTTCCTGCGGTTGATCATCTCGTATAACGAAACCGATAAATGAGTCGCTGGCAGGCATCGGCGTCTCCGGAGCGCTTGCAGGAGCACCTGCATCCTGCGGTCACTGTGCGACGGCCCCTGGGACCGAGGGGTCAAGCGTGGCCTATGAGTGAGAGGCAGCAGACTGGGGAGGGGCTTAGCCTTTGCTGATTGGCTGCTGTGCTGGGTGTAGCTCCTCCCCTGGCCTTGTTGCCTGTAATCCGTGGATCATTGTGGAGCTGGTCAGTGCTGGATCGTAGGTGTGTCTGCGTGACGGCGTTCCATACTGCTGCCTTCCAGTACCATCCGGCATGTTCTTTAGGAGGCCGCCTCCTGTGTATCTGTGCTGAAAGGAGGCTGTGTGATACCACATCACCATACTGTCACCGTTGTATGACGCACAATAATCAATTCACCTCGAGGTTGCCTGTTGTAGGAGACAGGAACCTCACTCTGAGCAGCTGCTCCCATCACTCTCTGGCGTCTCCTTGCTTTGGTCGCCATGCCGGTTATCTGCCGGAGGTCTGCTTGGGAGGCGACTTCACCACCCCTTAGGGTCCCTCCTCGGTGCTCTTCTCCTGTGCAGTCCATACACGCTTGAGATAAACCAGGTGTCTTTTGGAGTTCATCTCGGCACGATCTTGAAAGTTCCTTCTCTTTGGTACAGAGCTGCAGGTCCCTGTCTTATCAGATCTTGATGCCTGTTGAATAAATCGTCATTTTTCACATTTTACCCGCATGGTTGAAGGTCTGCCGCAGCTGGGGATGCTGTGGCAGGTTCCCCTGAGTCAGACCTGTGTTGCTCTGCTGCTCTTCCCTTGGTATGCTACCACATCGGGTCCCCTGTGTGTTCCGTGTTCACGCAGGTCAGACTCGGACCCTGCGGTTCCGCGTCCATCTGCTGGTGGGTTAGGTTGATTAGCTCTATGATTCTCTGATTCCTGTCGTCCTTCAGACCCCATGCAACATTTTTATTTGACCTCTTGGTGTCTTTAATGCGATCAGCATTCAGGGACGGTCCACGGAATGATCCAGAAGCAGCCAGGTTAACTGTGCCGACCTCCAAAACCTTCTTCCCTGTCCGTCCACCTGTGTGTACTCTCCGAGGAGCTGGAGCAGACAGAAAGGGGCCGAGTGAGACAGGCCTGCTTCAGCTGCCATTTGGGACCCCGGCATGAGTGAATAGAAGCATGCATGTTCATGCACCGACCCCCCCACCCCACTTCATGAATGACATGAATTAACTCTGCCCCTGTGAAACCAGAGATCCCAAAGGAGCAGACAGAAAGCACATCTGGGACCTGTTTTCTGGTACGCAGTGCTTAATTAATTGCGTAGTTCGGTTTAGTAGCACTGGGGGCGTGGTTAAGGGGCGGAGCATCGTAATAATCAGTCATGAGCTCATTAAAGCCCCCCCCCCAATTTATGCATCGTGTGTCTCCCCCTGCACAGACTAGCCTAGTGTGCCGGCCAGCTAGCTGCCCCCCCCCCTCAGTCTCCCCGTAAGGTAGCTACGAGCGCCTCCGTGGGGGGGTGGGCCTTTCCAGCGGCCACAGTCACTCTTCCCCACAGTCATTCACCATTAATATGCGAGGCGTGACCTTACACGCCTGTCACCCGGAGCCCCGGTCCCACCCAGGCGTGTATCTCATGAATTATTCACGCGTGGCGGTCCTGGGGCAGGTGCGAGCCGACAGCCCGTCTGCGTGGGCGCGGAGGTCGGGGGTCGCCCTGCTGATTGACAGTCCCTCCCCTGCCCAGGTACGGTCAGGTGGGGACACCAAGCCATCCATCCGGATGCCTTTAGCCCGTGAACGTAGCCAGCCTGCCTTCTGTGACCCCTGACGTCCCCGACCTGCGGCCACATTTATAACGACGCTGTGCTCCGGTTTGCGCTGGTTCTGTTGCTGCTGTTGTTGTTGTTAATATAATAGTAGTATTATTATTATTATTATTATTATTATTTGGTTTTTACAGTTATTGTTATTGTTGTTATAATAATTATTATGGCTGACTAATGCCATCTTACATTTAAAGCTGCTCCGTGCCGAAATGTGGTTGGCGGACCTCCTTAGCGGACCCTGCGGTCCCGTCCACGGCCTGATGGGGGCGCCATGCTCACAGAGAGAGGGTCTACGAGACGATGAACGGGCTGAGTAAAGAGTGAGGGGCAATGGTGGTCCAGATGGCGTCCCTGTTTGAAGCCTGGCCTTTCTCCCTCTGGCTGAACCCTCGCTCTCACTGTCCACCCCCCCCATTCCCCTCCGGATTCAACTTCAGACCCAAACGGTGACTTATTGGGATCAGCGGCCCGTGGGGGGAGTGGGAGGGGCTGTATGAGACTGACGAATGTACCGGCTGGGAAATTAGCTCTGATGTTATTACAAAGGCCACTTAACCTCTGATGTAAAAGCAGGGAGGGATCAGGCTAAAATGCGGGTGGTAACGAGGCGATGATTGTAATAAAAACAGGGCTCCAGAGGGCTCGATAAAATCACCTGGGGGGGGTGGGGTGGAAGAGATTGGCCCGCCCTGCTAATGTGTGCGTCACCCCAGCGGGCTTCGACTTTGAGAGGGAGGTGTCCTGGGGACGAATGTTTGCTTCAGAACGCCGGCGTGGTTTGGGGACCATCTGATGTCACAAACTGCTGGACTTACTTACATTCTCGGACGGCAGGAACACACTTGCCCTGTGTGTGTGCGCGTGCGTGCGTATGTGTGGCTGTGTGTGTGTGTGTGTGTGTGTGTGTGTGTGTGTGTGTGTGTGTGTGGCCGTGCATGTGTGTGATACCACCTGTGTGCAGATTACAAATGAGGCTGTTTTTAATATAATGAAGGCAGTCCAGAATTATTAATGAGCAGAGTGTTTCTCTTGGAATTCCTGTCTATTCCCAGGGTGGCGAGTGTGGGCATGGGGCTGTACCCCAGCCAGGAAGGCTGCCCCCCCTCATCTCGCCTGGGCGCTGAGCTCTGGGTCTTTCTCCACCCCAGAGCTGGTTTTCGTCTGCAGTTTGTTCATTTGTCTGCCATTCTGAAGCGCTGGTCCTGCGCTCCTCTTCCGGGCCCCTTCCCTGCTTCCCGGTCCAGCTGGCCCTCAGGATCGCATGTCGGAGTCACTGTGCTTCCGAATTCACAGTCCTAAAGCGGGCACCAGGGCCGACGCACCGGTCTGGGATGGGGGCGAGACCCGCTGTGGGTTTTATTTTGTTACGGGCTTATTTCCTGGGCCTTATGATGCCATGATATTAGCCCATATTTTGGATTTTAAAGAGGAGCAGCCATGTTTGAGCAGAGGAGAGAGTTTTTATCGCTTTGTTGCTGGGAAATTGACTGGAGCTGTTAAATTTTCTGTTATATCTCTGTGTTCCCAGGGCCTCCATTGGGTGTAATAACCTTGTTTGTGTCACATCTGCCCTCGGCATCCTCTGCAAAGCAGTTTTTGATTGTCGGTTGTAATAATGTTAGGGGGCTTGGAGGCAGCTGACCAGCAGCACAGGACGAGTCACTTCTCTTCTTTTTTTTGATCCATGTTGGAGCGATAATAAGGAGCTTCCTGCCTTTGAAGGCAGCGTGTGGCTCTGCCCTTCACTGCCAAGCTTGCCGTACCTGCATGTGCATCCCGGAGACTAAGATGGGGTCGGCAAAAAGAGAATTTCCCCGCGGGGTTCAAGTAGTAGTTTATTATTATTAAATGTACGTTTGCTGTAGGAGATGCTGCCTCATTTTCCCCCGGGGAGGTCCAGTGTCGATCCAGTTCGGGTCCGTTTGGTTGCAAGCCCCGAGGAATGAGATCGGACTTCAGAGATCTTCCATGGTGGGCACCGCAGAGATTTCGGGCAAACCGATGCAGGGGTTAGAGATTTGGCTGGTCTCTTTGCTCTATCGCTGTGCATATAGGCACTGTCGTGGCACAGGGGGTGTTAGCACTGTGACGTGCCGGGGGGGGGGGGGGGGCACAGCACATATCGCATGTGGGGGAGGTTTTATTTGGCTGTCCCTGCCCCTGTGTCTCTCTTAGACACCCAGAGACCCCCCCAGCCCCGCTGAGGTTGTGTGAAGGTCACACAGACCCTCTTTGGTGCCAGACACCCTTCTGGGGTTTCAGTGCCCCCACCACTGACACGGACTGACTGGGGATCAGCGTGTGCCTCATTCCGGGGGTGTTTACTGGAGGTGTGCCGAGGAGACGCTCTCGTGGGGAGGCGGGGGGATCAGCGTATGACCCTCCTGTGACCAGGAGGCTGGAGAAATCGACGTGAATAAACACCAAGCACTGCTGCTGGGTGACACAGGAGCGGGGAGGTGGGACGCGGAGCCGAGGTGGAAAGGCCTTTCTTCCCGTCGGGGGCGGGCCGACCCAGAGAATATGCATAAAACCGAAAACCCCCCTGAACAGCACTGGCAGTGAGGAAGGGCGCCCTGCTCCTGTGACCTCATCATTTTGTCATTCCTCTGGAGTGAAGTCACTCACTGAATCTGTGCCTATCCCATAATGCTGTTTGGTATATTTCCTGGTGTTTCTGGCTAAGAGCCTATCCCATAATGCTGTTTGGTATATTTCCTGGTGTTGCTGGCTAAGTGCCTATCCCATAATGCTGTTTTGCAGAGATCGGCAGAGTGCGGAAGGACATGTATAACGATACACTGAATGGCAGCACGGAACGGCGGGCGTCGGAACTGCCCGAGGCCGTGGGCCCCATCGCACAGCTGCAGGAGAAGCTCTACGTTCCGGTAAAAGAGTACCCCGACGTGAGTACCCAAATCCTAACCCCGACGTGAGTACCCAAACCCTAACCCCGACGTGAGTTCGCAAACCCTAACCCCGACGTGAGTTTGCAAAGCCTAACCCCGACGTGAGTTCGCAAACCCTAACCCCGAC